TAAGAAATAAGTCGAGCCATTTTTTGCTTGAATTGTAAATGAAGCGGAATCAGTTCCTGATTGCTTCATAAATTTGTAAAGCATATAAAAATCTTTTCACAAACGATTAATTAATGTAGTCCGTTCTTTGTCAAAATAACCATTATATAATAATGTAGTTTTCATCTGGTCTCTAAATAAAAACCCATAACCTTATATTTATACCAGATCAGTGAAAAGTCTCTAAACAGGTCTTTTTTTTTAATCACTAAAATAATCATATATATTATTAGTAATCATTTTATATATAAATTGTATTTAAATTAATACTATGAATTTTAGCAAAGATAGTAAAAAAAAGAAACCTGTTTTAGAGACTTTTCACCAACTCGGTATTAAGTTTTATTTCAAATAATCAAGTAATTGTGAATGTTGGATTATTAGCATGTTCAAATAAATTGAACTCTTGTGTTACAAAAAACATGTCATTATTAGGCAACAAGTTGTTTTAAACATAATTGTGCTACATATGTTTCTACACACATGTGATCACCTGAAAACCTTATTTCACCTGCATTTCCAAGAAGAAGGAATGGTATACTATATAAGGCATCTTAGGTGACCTCAAAAAAACTTTAATTTCTTCTCGGGAAATAATACTATTTAAGGAATATAAGAAAATTTTAAAAAAAAAAAAAAAAAAAATGTATACGTATACACATATGAACACAGGTATAAACGTCAGCATCATTAAAATAGTACCTTGTTGAGGTTGTTCACAAAAAACACTTGTCATAAAATTTCATGAACATTTAATATCTTACTGAAAAGAGCCTGAAGGCTTCTATATACCAGTGAGAAGGAAAAAAAAAAGAAAAAAAAAAGTTTAAATCAAACAACGGTTTTTTCTACCAGGATGTTTCTTAGCCAAAGTAAATACTCTGAAGACAACCTTTTTTCTCTTAAACAAAACAATACTATCTATACATACACTATCATTAGTGAAAGATTTTATCCACCAACAAGCATAGTACATTATACCGCAGCTCACTCTTGTAACAGAACTAAACACAAGATTCTGGATAATTATTTAGTACAAACAAGATGGGGCAGAGGACGGTCAAAGCATATAATAGAATGTGAGGTTAAATATGAAATAAATAAACCTGTATTTATAATTAGGTTTGAGGATAATGGCCAAAAATTTGTAATAGAATCGAAGGATTCTTCGACTAAAGCAGCTAATGAATATTTACAAGTTAATATATTTTTAATAATAAACTTTTATAATTATGTATATATAAGTTTATAAAAAAAAAAAAATAAGATAAAATTCTATTATTTCATTTATATAGAAAAGAAATCCAAATACGCAAGCCAAAGTTTCTGGAGTTCATGTGTTTGGGCTTAATGCAACAAACGTAGAAAAAGAGCGAGAAAAAAAAATTCATTCTCATTCTTTCAAACCATTTCACATGTTAAGCGAGTCTATGAAAACCAAACGTTTCCATGCATTTTCAACGCAAGTTGATACTGCCTTTAAAAATGTAATTCCCAAGTTCTATAATCTGATTGATCAACCAGCCCTTCAAGAGTTACGATTTAATGTTCAAGAGAAGGATTATGTTGTTAGTTTTCACAAAAATAGAGAAAAAAATAATCAACATACTGAAGCGATTACAAAAATTATTGATCAAAGTCCAATTTCTAGAGATGTTTATAGAAAGTTAGCTGCTCTTCAATATGAACTACCACATGATCACGCCATTTTAAGTACTAGAAAAAAAATTAATGAGGAGATGAGTCAACAAATTCCTATTTCAATTTTAAACATTACAGACATACCTCTTACATTTATAGCTATAAATGAGTCATCAGATATTAATGATCCAGAAATTGAAGAAGAGATGCTAAAATATATTGGCAAGGCAGGCTATCGACACATAACAGACATCTTACTCTTTTTAATTCCAGGCCTTGTAGATCATAAAGTTTTAAATATAAATAATCCTGTAATCCATATCTGCATATCAGGTGACAGTAGAAACGTAGGTAGAAAAATCAAGCATGTAATGATTACATATGTGATTCTAGACGATATATCAAATCTTTACAATGCTGATTATCACCATACGATCATTTTATGCCCTGGGTCAGAAAACTATGATCTTTTAAAGAAGGTGACAGCACCGGTAGTTAGTGAATTGGATAATTTAATAAAAAATAGGTTAGACGATTTTACTGGAATCAAATGGAAAATAGTGACCTTTTTTAGTAGCGATTGGAAATTTATGTGTATAATCTTGGGGTTCAATGCACCAAATGCGACTTATTTTTGTCCTTGGTGCTTGTGCACTAAAAAGGATATAGATATAAAAGATAAAGTTTACAC